AATTTTTCTTGTGTTTTAAATATAAAATATTTTATTTTTATGTTTATTACTTATTTCTTACAAAAAAGGGGAAATAGAGGAAAAAGAGCTTTTAAAGTTGTTTTTTATTTAATAATTTTTCGAACGCCTCGAATACAATACAATTTTATATGGTAAAAAAATATTTATATTTTACATTATAAAATTGAACAATTCTAATACCAAAAAGATATACAAAACAATAAAATATTTACAAAAACAATATTCATATTTTACAAAATTTCACATTATAACTTTACATTTTTACCTAATTATACTAATGGACGGAAAACTCGACAACGTTGCTAACTTAAAACGAGAGAGAAAGTTCGAGCGAGAGAAAGGTTATTCATCTACGAAACCGTATGGAAAAGAATAACGATTATTAATAAATTTACGTTTTACCAATACCGGCGCACATGACTTTGTCTCGTTTCGTGTTATAATTTCATGAAACGCAGTACGCCGAATTGCTGTAAAATGCAAATTTATCCCCGCTTCCCCCGCCGTTTGTTCTTCTGTTTCTCGCCTTTTTCTCTCATTTTCTTCAATTAATTTCTTAATACTATTAAAATTTAGAACGATCGAATTCTTAAAATTAAGTGTTATTCCCTTTATTTTACAGACCTCATGCGTGCGTCCTTCTGGCGTACGAACGATATACGAGTAAAATTTTGGACCACCAGAAACAAACGACTCGATATAACTACCGCGCCCGTAGCTTTCGAGTTCATCCGTCATATCGCCCAGGAAATTACCCGTACGCGGTTTGTACTCATTCGGCTCACCGGTACTTAAATAGATACATGAGTCTGTATCGTAATATAAAACGCGCTTATCTAATTTTTCTAAATAATTGTATAATTTTAATCTCGCTAACGCCGTCGTATTTGCCGCGATTACGACGTTCGTCATCGGAGAAGATGCGATCGCCTCTTCACGTAGCCGCCACGAAACTTATATTACCTTGTTATTGACGGGTAATATATCAGTTATCTCATGCTCCGGACTCGTGAGTAAAGTCATTAGTCGTTGGTATGACTTTACGATCTCAGTAGGCAGATTGGTTCGCTGGCCGAATTTTCCCCAAAATGAATTTAGACAAAACTTAGAGACCGAACGTAAACCGGAATTTCGAGTAATGTTATTTCTATCGAGAACGACACCCTCGGTTTTTTCGTATTCCCTCAGGTAACGTTCCTTAGCATCGTCATCGTTATCCCCGCATTCGCTCGGCCATCAACTAGCTTCCTGCTTTAATTGTAGAAATGTATTTATATATTCGGCAAACAAACCTCCCTGCCGAGTATTGGGATCGTATCGTGTGACTTTATACTGCCAAATTTCACTAACGCTCGTCACGAGATAGCCCTTCTCGATGGCTTTGCGTAATTCGCAGGATACCCAAGTACCTTCGAATTCACGCTCGTCGGGACTATCGTGAGTGCACGTTTCCTGCGAGAAAGTTTCACAGCAGCTTCGACACAGTGCGGAAAGCAGCTTTCCTCTTACTCGATACGGGAGTACCGGATGAAAGAGATTACGCGGCGGGAGCACCTTGCAGCGTACAAGACCTTCGACCGAGTCAAAATTAAAATTTGGCGCTTCACCAATTAACTCGTTACAGTCCTCACCGACATAATATCGGGGTGACCGTATGGGAAAGCACCCGTTTTCAATACATACAGATACAAAGAGCATACGTCCACATAACGTATTTTCTCTGTACCCGTAATTTCATAGCGGGTAGCGATGTTTCCCGTACGACCGCCGAAAAACACATCGCGCGGGTCGAGAGGATCAGATTTTAATAGCGTGTGATTTTTGAGAAAATCACGCATCTCAAGATTTTCACGCATTTCCCGATCAAAGTTACACTCCCATTTCTCTATCACGTGATATCCCCGTTTTCGTAGACGATATGTCGATGCGAGAGTTCGTTCGTAACGCGCGTCGATCGTATCTCCACGATTCGTGGACGAAAGCGTTCTGTCGCGATTCACCTGAAAGCACGTCGGACATCCATGCCAGAAACATCCGTGGAATTGAAGTACGTAACGTTGTATTCCGTCTGCCGATTCCGATTCGTAGTATCCGTCAACGCGCCTGCCATCAATCTCGTACTCGCGCCCTCGTCCCGCGTGAATTATGCGATGACCGAGCTCACGCTCCTTCCACACTAACCACTTTAAGGCTTTTCGCGATTGTTTATCCGCATTTCTATATCCGCCCGGAGGAATGATTCCTATTTCTTTCTCGCGCAAAAAGTTTTTGCGAAAAACTTTCATGCACGAGGAAGCGATAGTTGTACATTCCTCGAACGGACACACATTACCACGTTCCAAAAAAATTTTTCTAAACGCCATGCATGCGCGTCGAAGAATTTCTACGTCGTTACGGCAATATTTTACTATTTCATGTTGAAAATTAAAAATAAAATTTGCGCGTATCATCTCATCGTGCCAGTTTGTAAATCGCATTCGTTCTTCGGGCTTCATTTGATCGGGAGAATAATATCGCGCATCAGGTATCGGGCCGATATACGATTGATTTTCCCTCGTATTGAACAGGTAAGGAAAGTTGCCTTTGTCCGACGTATCCTTCAGCCCGAAAGCTTTGGGTAAATCGGCCAAACGCATCGGTAAATAATTGACACTATCTATAAATTTCGTATTCCCGACCGTCATTACGATAATCTTCGTCCCGTTCAAAATTACCCGCGGTTCTTCCGTAATTTCGGATTCTTCTACTAAATACTTTAAAATGAATTGCGCGTCGAACGCTTTCGCATTATGAGCGATACAAATAATCTTTTTAAAACATTTTGTCGTTCGATGAAAATGATTTTCATCCTCAACTTTATATAAAAACAAGTATATTCTACCTTTTAAAAAATTGTTATTTTAAATTACGTTTATATATTCTATTTTGAATTAATATTATAAAATTACTTACATTAAAGGTGTGATTAGCAATTATCTACTCCTTAGTAATAATCTTATTTCATTATAATCATTCGACGCACCATTACCTGATACTAACATAATAATATTTTATTTTAATCAATAAAAATGACTAACTTAATAATTTCACACAGCTTTGTAATACCTGCGTAGAATCGCTACAATGTATCGCCGCATATACTGCACAATTTATCAAAGACATTATTCTTTTCAACGCTGCTAACCGTTATTATATCGAATGCTAAGACGAACTGCGAGAAACTGTTTCGTATGTTCTGACCCTCAGTATTTATATTGAAGGCTAATGAGAACTTATATACATTCAAAACAACATCACACAATGCCTAGCAAGGAAACGTAAGCTTCTGGAAATTTCTGAGTGTCAATCTGCTTATTTAAACCATTTTCTTGTTTTTTGATAAAAATCATCTCTGACGTTAGTCTTTTGAAAAGATACTGTTCTTTGTCCATAATCTTTATATCATCCCAATTAAAATTATGACCATAATTAATATGATGTTCAGCTAAAACGGAACTACAATATTTTTTATTTTTTATATCATGTTGATGTTCAACCATACGAGTGCCAATCTTCCTTTTTGTTTGACCAACATACGACGCGTTACATTCTCTACAATTAATCTTATACACGACGCCTTTTTGTTCGTTCGTCTTTAATTTATCCTTACCTAGTTTAATAATAGAATTTAAATTATTATGTGATTTAAACGCAACTTTTTTGTTCATTGTACCAGCAATATGACGAAACTTTTCTGAAATATTACGTATATATGGAACTGTGAAATAATTAATTTTATTATTTATATTAGTGTCCTCTAATTGTTTATTATTAATGTATAAATTCTTTCTTTTTGCTAATTTTTTAATTCTATTATTTATAGTCGAAAAAATCATATTCAGCGGATAACCATTATTTAGTAAATTCTCAACAAGTTCTTTGATATTATTTTCATGGTATTCCGGATGAGCTAAAAAGATTATTCGGTCAAACAAACTTATTATAATGCCTTTTTTTTGTACGTCAGAAGCAACTAATGCGCTTACAGAATTCAAACCTTCAAAAATACACATGATTTCCATCGATAATAGTGATAAAATTAAATGTCAGTACAATAATTCCTTAATTACTAACACAAGTAATGCACTTGCAATTAATAATAATAGTAATTGTGACAAACACAAAATTAACATTAGTCCAACGGAATTTAACAAAACATTTTCATTACATAATATCAATAATAATTGGTTGATTAACTTGAGCAATATAGACATTCCAGATAGTGTTAAAATGATCTTACAATTGGGGCAAAAATTTAATTTACCATTGAATAACAAGAATAATGAAAAGACAATAATTGAATTTGTTAAACAAATAGAATCTAATATTTTTAACATAGACAATTCAATAAAGAATACTATTAGGAATAATTGTATTGAAATCTTAAATAAGTTACCGCATAAAGCTAAAGAAAAAGTCAGATGATGAAATATTGTTGGTAGAAAGTATGAAGGATGTACGTAAGTTTGTGAAGGAACAGCAAGACATTTTAATTACAAAAACAGACAAAGGTAATGCTACTGTGGTTATGAAATTGTCTGATTATAATAATAAAATGACTACGTTATTGTCTGATAAACGAACTTACAGTGAAATTAAGAAGGATCCAACTAGTAAACTAATTAAGCAAACACATGTATTAGTACGATGGAAGGAGAAGGAATATTTGAACGACCAAACTTATAAATTACTAAATGTTACAGATTGTAACCTGTCGAGATGTTACGGTGTGCCCAAAATCCATAAAATTGGCAATCCTTTACGAATCATTATTAGTTGCATAGACAGTCCTCTTTATAAATTATCCTCTTATCAAAGAAATTATCAATAAAAGTAAACATTTTAGTCACATTAAAAATAGCTATGAGTTGGAGCATAAAATTAATGGTAAAAGTTTAAATGATAATTATAAAATTCTATCCTTTGATATCGAAAATATGTATACAAACATTCCAGAAAAATTAATTTTAACTAGTATTAGCAATAGATGGCCAGATATTTCAAAAAATACTAATATTCCTATAAATGAATTCATAGGTGCAATTTCTTTGATTGCAATTCAACATTCTTTAGATTTGATGAACTTTTTTATAAACAAGTACATGGATTGCCAATTGGCTCACCACTCTCTCCAATCTTAGCTGATCTCGTAATACAAAATCTTGAAAATGATATTTTGAGTCGTTTAAATATTCCTATACCCATATATTGTAGATATGTAGACGACATTCTGCTCGCTTTGCCTAGCGATAAAATTGAAATTGTTTTGGAACACTTTAATAGTTATCACAATCGAATTAAGTTTACTCTTGATATAGGTTCTAATGATTCTGTAAGTTTTTTGGATGTCAACGTAATGATTAAGGACGGTCATATTAGATTCAATAATTACAAAAAAATGACTAATTCGGGACGTTATTTAAATTTTATATCATCTCATCCAGACCAACAAAAAAAAGGTATTATAATAAGTTTGTTTGACCGAATAATCTTTTTAGCTCATCCGGAATACCATGAAAATAATATCAAAGAACTTGTTGAGATTTTATTAAATAATGGCTATCCGCTTAAAATGATTTTTTCGACTCTAAATAATAGAATTAAAAAATTAGCAAAAAGAAAGAATTTATACATTAATAATAAACAATTAGAGGACACTAATATAAATAATAAAATTAATTATTTCACGGTTCCATATATACTTATATGAAATAACGTAATATTTCAGAAAAGTTTCGTCATATTGCTGGTACAATGAACAAAAAAGTTGCGTTTAAATCACATAATAATTTAAATTCTATTATTAAACTAGGTAAGGATAAATTAAAGACGAACGAACAAAAAGGCGTCGTGTATAAGATTAATTGTAGAGAATGTAACGCGTCGTATGTTGGTCAAACAAAAAGGAAGATTGGCACTCGTATGGTTGAACATCAACATGATATAAAAAATAAAAAATATTGTAGTTCCGTTTTAGCTGAACATCATATTAATTATGGTCATAATTTTAATTGGGATGATATAAAGATTATGGACAAAGAACAGTATCTTTTCAAAAGACTAACGTCAGAGATGATTTTTATCAAAAAACAAGAAAATGGTTTAAATAAGCAGATTGACACTCAGAAATTTCCAGAAGCTTACGTTTCCTTGCTAGGCATTGTGTGATGTTGTTTTGAATGTATATAAGTTCTCATTAGCCTTCAATATAAATACTGAGGGTCAGAACATACGAAACAGTTTCTCGCAGTTCGTCTTAGCATTCGGTATAATAACGGAACGCAGTTCGTCTTAGCATTCGATATAATAATGGTTATCAGCGTTGAAAAGAATAATGTCTTTGATAAATTGTGCAGTATATGCGGCGATACATTGTAACGATTCTACGCAGGTATTACATAGCTGTGTGACAATTATTATGTTAGTCATTTTAATTGATTAAAATTAATTATTAATATGTTAGTATCAGGTAATGGTGCGTCGAATGATTATAATGAAATAAGATTATTACTAAGGAGTAGATAATTGCTAATCACACCTTTAATGTAAGTAATTTTATAATATTAATTCAAAATAGAATATATAAACGTAATTTAAAATAACAATTTTTTAAAAGGTAGAACATACTTGTTTTCATATAAAGCTGAGGATGAAAATCATTTAAATATATGACATACTATGTTTCCATGGGTCTTGCAGTTGACGAAAATCATGATACTTCGATAATTCATCTTAACTAATTTTGACAGCGATATGTATATTGACATTTTGAGTGATTTTAGTCTGTATAAGTTCATTGCGAAATTTTTCATAATTGAATGTAATACTATTGAGAATGGTCTGATGACAGACCGAAACGTTTGGTTTGTAATATAATTTATAATAAATATGGATTATACAGCTAGTGTACGTGGAAGAAGCCGTTTAATTATTTTATTGTTGTTATTGATCCACGGTCGATAAGTAATTTTGTTTTATTATTTAACTCATTCATAGTAATAATCACATTTACAAGTTGTGTAATTTTTTAAATATAAGGGATCGCTATCGTAACGTCAAGTAATAAATAAATACCCAAAGATTATTCGTCATTATACTCATCAGTATCTTTGCATCTAACACTCGAAAACATTGATTTAACTTAATTATTTAATGTTATCGTTCAGATTTATTTAGATAGAATTTGATGTACAGCCTAATAACAAAATCAATTAAAAAAATTTAATAAATTTAACAAATTAAATAAACACGAGCAATAACGATGTTAACAAACACACGCATTTCTATTTGCATATTTCGTTCTCAGTTTTGTTATCCAGAGCATTTTAATAATTGCTCTGTCCGTTGCACATCGGAGTTACTTCGTTACTCTTGAAGAGGGCCTTAGAAAGGTCCGTTTGCAAATACGCCGATATTTAACATCGCAAATTGCATTCGTGCGTCTAGTTGCATTATTAAACGAAACGCGAAACAATTTCTACGAAACGAAGGCGCGCCTACGTATACCACCTCAGTAGTTGCCTTGTACTGCAATACGCACGACGTACAAACAAACATTTTTCATTTAGAATACTTTTAAATATCAAAGAGCGCGCATACTCGAGGCAAGGAAAGAACGTAATTCTTCGCGAGCTACTGTTGTCCGCGTACTGATTTCTAAAAGTGGACGTTATTCACTACCTGCAAGAAGCTAAAAATAAGACCAGAAGAAAATGAAGGGAATGCTACGAGAAGCAGGCACACGTAAAGGGATGAATATGGGAATACGCGAATT